CCCTAGGTGGGCAGGACTTCCGGCCTGCTCTGAGTTCTCACCTGGGAGGGAGGCACGCGGTCGAAGTTCTTCCCCAGCATCCTCCGCATGTGCTTCCGGGCATGGGAGGTCATCTGGTGCTTGAGGAGGAAGGAGAACTGGCAGCCTTCCCGGATGCAGTGGAAGTGGCTGTTCACCTGGTTGTACTTGCAGCCTGTAGACACAGCCCCCCTCGCATGAGTCCTCAGCCAGCCAGTGCTCATACCACCCCCTGGGCACTGGGCACTGTTCTGGGCACAGGGGAAGTGTGGCCCACAGACACCTGGCCTGCAGTTTGGGAAAAGGGAATTTTCTCCGAAGATGCATTTGTGTGTGTGTGTGTGTGTGTGTGTGTGTGTGTGTGTACGCGTACTGGGGCTTGAAGTCAGCACCCAGTGGCTGGGTGCTCTCACTTAGCTTTTTTGCCCAAAGCTGGTACTCTACCACCTGAGCCCCAGTTCCACTTCGGGCTTTTTGCTGGCTCCTTGGAGATAGTCTCACAGGCTTTCCTGTCTGGGCTGGCTTTGAACCACAACCTTCAGATCTCATTTCCTGAGTAGCTAAGATAGGTGCATTCTTAGGAGAAAATCTTGTACCTGGACCAGTCCCTCAGGAAGTCCACAGCTACCTGGCTGTCCAAACCTGGGCCTTCCTTCTGGCCTAGCCCAGAGGCATGCAGCAGGCTGGCCCCCATCCCACGTCCTATACACAACTCTAGGCCAAAGGACCATCATAGACCCTGTCCACCAGCCAGCCACCTCCATCTGCCTTCACCTCCTCGGGGGCACTCGGGATGCTGCCTGTGCCCCAGACCTTGCTTAGATGGTTGGCTGGCTTCTGCCCTGACCCCACCCCCACCCACCTCTGCTTTGCTTTGGGCTGAGAACAAACAGAGCAGCTAAGGGCAGGTGAGGGCCTGCCCGTTGCCAGGGCACCAAGCTGGCCAGGTGTCTTATGTCATCCCCCAGCTTTGTTTGGCCCCAGCTACCACCAAAAATACCAAAAGTTGAGTAAATAATGGGAACTCCAGAATCCCCTGACAGCTGTAAACCGAGCCCTGGAAGCAGCAGAGGCCGAGGGTGTTGACACCGGTTGCTGTGGTTCCCAGTCCTCTCCCGGCCACGGTCCTTTTGGAACTATTACTCGAAGGAAAGCTTTGTTTCCTCTCTTGTCCTGCAGTCGTCTTGGAGAAATGCCACCCTCTGCCTATGGAAGGGCCAGCGTGCCTCAGGCACTGCCGCCACCACCACCACGGCCAGCACAGGGCCAGAGGCCTGGTCTGGACGCAGTGGATGCCTGCCGCTGCCCTGCCTGACAGCTTCCAGTTGAGTTCTCGGGAGATTCCCGCCCCATCTAGGCAGGCCCACAAACACGTGGCTCCGTTCCGAGGCCCGGGGACAGCTCTGCCTCTGCCTGCTGGCCCTCTGGGCACCCCCAGCAGTTCAGGCCACGGGGTTGGCAGGAGGCTCTGTTCCCCATGGGACCTTGGCTCTCAGCAGCTGCCACGCTCAGAGGTCTTGGTGGCTGCTTCTTCCCACACCCCTGGTCATCTCCTCCCTGTGGCTCCCATCGCCAGGGCTCCTGCTGAGCCCAAAATGTCTGTGATGAGCCTGACTGCCAGCGCCAAGCCAGCTCCCAGCACAGCCCACCGCCACCCCATCCGTGACACTTGCTCTAATGGTCAGATGAACAAATGGCTCCGTTCAGACAGAACCTCAAGTTAAAGCTGTGGAAAGACACCCCAGGACAGGGAAACTCTGGGACTCTGAAGAGCTGACCTGCAATGGCCTTTGAGAAGGAAAGGAAACTGACATAAGTGCAGCCCTGCATCCAGCAGTAGGGTCCCGGGGCATTGACTAGGGGTAGCGGAGGGGGGAAGGGGAGGCTCGGACCACCTTTTTCCCAGGCTGTTTACCCAAACAGCCACTTTGCCATCTGTGGCATCTCTGTGGCATCTGCTGCATGAGGGGCATGTGGGGGGGAGTACCTGGATTTCAGATCTAACTCCTCAGCACTTTTGGGGATAGGGCTTAAAGTGAATTGGCCCAAGCCAACCAGTCCCCAGAGGCCAGAGCCACAGTCCTGACGCCTGCTAGAAGCCCCCGCCTCAGCTTGGCTTCAGGTACCTAGTCTGCCGCACTCCTCACGCTTGGTGAAGTATTTGAATCCATTGGCCGCCCGCCGCTCTGCCTTCTCATGCTTCTTTATGTGCCACGGCAGTTTGGTAGTGATGTTTGTCACAAAGTAGCAGCCAGTTCGGAGACAGTGGTAGTGCCCGCGCATCCGGAACTCACAGTGCTGCGTGAGAAGACCAGGGTCAGGACAGGCAGGGACTGCCGGGCCCTTTGCATGTGGGTTCTTCCATGCTCATGTCCAGAAAACACAGTCACATGGAGATCTCTCACAGAGTAAAACATTGTATGTCCCTTTGGTCATTCCACTAAAATATTCTTCCTGGCAATCCCGCAATCCCTAATCAGAGAATGCCACATCCAGAGCAGACATCATTCATTTACTTTACTACTCTCTCCTATATGATCTAGGTAGACATTATGAGTCTATCCCAGCACTCCTCCATATGCCAAGACTCAAGCAGACATCACTAATCTTGTCTAGCTGGCTTTCCTGGATGCTCAGCTGTAGGGAGACATCAGTAATTGAGCTCTAGCAGTTTTTCCTGCAGACCCAGACCACAGACCCAATGCCTCAGGCAGTCCCTGACACTCTTGAGGGTAGGTTATTTATTTATTTATTTTTTGGTCTGTCATGGAGCTTGAACTCTGGGCCTGGGCATTGTCCCTTAGCTCCTCAGCTCAAGGTGAGCGAGCACTCTACCACTTAAGCCACAAGAGCCACTTCTGGTCTTCAGGTGGTTAATTGGAGATAAGAGTCTCACAGACTTCCCTGTCCGGGCTGGCTCTGAACCGTGATCCTCAGATCTCAGCCTGACTAGCTAGGATTACAGGTGTGAGCCACCAGCACCCAGCAAGGGTAGGTTTTAAATTGAATCTGATCTGCCCTTTCTTGGCCTGGATGGTGCTCTTTATCTACTGAATGAGTCTATTTTAAAATTCTAGGACTCTAGAGAAAGGGAAAAAGCTAATTCAAGGATGGGCAAGAATGAAGTCAAGTGCAGTGTCTGCATAGCATTTAGTTGCCCCTGGGAGTTAGGTCTGAAATGACAGACCTCACCAATTTAGCACCAATCTGGACCCTGGCCTGGGGCCTTCAGGGGCCTCGGGGCAGACAGCGTCCTTTCAGAGTCTGGTGAGGGCCAACTTAAAAAGGGTGTGAAAAGCAGAGTGTTTGCCAGAAGTTCATTCTGGGCCCTGGGCCTCCCCTGCCCCGGGGCTGGCCTGCCCTCCGGTACTGACCTGGTTGGGACAGAGACACTGCAGGGAGTAGTAAGCAAACTGGTCTCGAACGTTCACCAGGCTGTTGTTGGGGTTGATGTGGTCCAGGCAGTGGGACTCGGCCTTGCCGGAGGTTTTGCAGACGTACTTGCAGTTCCCGAAGAGACAGTGGAAGTGGAACTTGTTGGCGTACTTGCAGTCGGTGGTGAGGCAAGGATCGCTAGAAGGAAACCACAGCCCAGAAGGTCATTGGCATCCCAAGCCCTCCCCCCTTGTCCTGACTACTTGTGTTGGGGTTCATCCCTCAGTCACCACAGATGCTGGTGCAATCCAGAGGAATGCCCTCCTGCGCAACAGGATGATTCAGCCAAAGACTACAGATCCCAGCATGCATCCCTCCCTCCTTTTAGGAGTTCTGCCTGGTACACTCAGGATGGCAATATGCAGGGCGCCTAGAGCATTGCATGCCGGGACATGTAGTTTCCAATGCCACATCTTGGGATTATAGATAAGGATGGCTGCAATCACTTCTTGGATATGAAAATAAGGGATGGTGCTGCCAGCCAGCCCTGGCAGGATACCAGTGAGGGCCTAGCTGGCATGGCCTGGCACTGCCTTGGATGTGGCTGACTGACAGATGGGTGGGCAGCGCTACCGGGAAGCTTGGCTACCAAGGAGCTTCAGCAAGTGGGAACATGTGCCCGCTGTCAGGTCCTGAGGCTCACAGCTGTTGGGGCTCCCCAAGGTCAGCGGGGGCCTGCAGTGCCCACCCATTCGGGGAACCCACAAGCAGAGGAGCGGAAGGAGCTGGTGGGGGCTGGGGGCAGGCTGGGCCAAGCTCCTGCGCTGGCCTGTCCATGAAGGCAGAGGGCCAGCGGGCAGCCCAGCCCCGGCCCAGTTGCCGCCCGGGCTGCCGGAGGGTGTGGGGCGCCAGCCTCTGGCTCTGGTTGGCATCACTGTGGTCCCAAAGAGTTGGATCCGCAGTGGGAACATGGACCAGATCTGGAAAACTACAGTGGCTGCCGCTTCGGGAAGGGGGAGGGAGGAGGGGGAGGGCCGGAGAGGAGCACCCCAGCCCCAGGTGCTCAGAGAGGGAGGACAGCTGCTACTCAGGCGGTATAAATAATTCAATTTATTACTTTTATTGAGAACAGGAAGCCGCACACATTACGATACAAAGTCACCGTTCTCGTCGCAAGGCGCCACCACCATCGAGTGAGGAAGACCCCTTCCGCCGGGGGCTCAGACCCCCGTGCAGGCGGCTGTGGGCCTGGGGGGGCCCGGCCCCGCCCCCATCCATGGCTTCTGTGCCTACTCAGCCTGGGCATACCCACAGGGGCCAGCCAGGTGGCCCCCTCCCCTTATCCGAACCCCCCTCTCCCAGCCCACCGCAGCCAGTCCCTGAGGGATCCCCGAAGCCTCCCGCTGCTCCCCCCCCCACTACTGCTCAGGAACAGGCTGAGAGGCTCGGGCGGCAGCTTCTTTGGCTAGAAGGACGTGGCCTTGACTGCCAGGTCCCAGAGGCTGGGAAGAGCCAGCCTATCTGTGCAGGGTGAGGAGCGGGGCCTCCTCGCCGCCCCGCTACACCCCTCCCGAGACGCAGGGACAGGCGGCAGCTCAGGGAGGGACTCACTTGTCCTGGAACTGCAGGAACCCGGGTTTGACCTGGGGCTTGGCGCTCTCTAGAGACGTCGTCGCCAGGGGTGAAGCGGGCAGGTGAGGCACTGACGCGGGGATCTGAGGCATCTGGGGTATGGTGGAAGCCAGCTGCTTCCAGGCGAGCAGGGTAGGGGTGGAGGGCACCGAGGCGGGGCTGGGAGAGGGCCCCTCCAGGGAGGACCCCGGGCCTGTGGTGCCAGGGGGCGCCGGAGGGGACGAGGGGGCCACGGGCTGTTTGGTCTCGGCGGCAGAGGCTGGGAAGGAGGCCTCCGTGGATCCTTTGGCTGCGCCTCCATCTGTCCGGAAGTGGAAGCTGGGAGAGGAACAGGAGGGCGGCTCAGGTGCGAAGTGGATCAGTTCCTACCCAGCTGCACATGGGCTCATAGAGAGGAGAGGTGCCTTGTACGGTCCTAAGCTCGGGCTAGAGCGTCCCTTCCTCATTCCTGCATGGACTCTGGAGTTCTCCCCTGACCAGGACAGATGGACATGAGGACAGATGGCTGTGGACACCAGTTCTAAACTTGGGTCTTGGCTGGGCCCTGACCCCATCTTCCTACTGTGAGCTGCTTCTGCCCTGAGCCCTCCCTGTCTCTAGGGAGTGTGTGAGCAGGCCCTGTCTTATGAGGTTTTCTTCTTTCTAGAACCTTCTCTGAGGTTTCTAGCTAGGACTCGGTACCCAACAGGTTTTTTTTTTGGGGGGGGGTCCAGTCGTGGGGCCTGAACTCTGGGCCTGGGCGCTGTCCCTCAGCTCTTCAGCTCAAGGCTAGCACTCTACCACTTGAGCCACAGTGCCACTTCCGGCTTTTTTCTTATGTGGTGCTGAGGAATCGAACCCAGGGCCCAGGCATGCAAGGCAAGTGCTCTACCACTGAGCCACTTTCCCAGCCCCTCAACAGGCTTTTTTTTGTGTGTGTTCTAGCAGCTGGGGAGAAAAGCTTAAGAGAGTAATGATCTGTTTTCAATGTTTACAAGTTCTGAGTTCAATTACAAGCAGCATCTGGGCTTGCCACGACCTCTACTTGACTTGCAAATTCGCTGCATTATTTTGAGGTCAAAGGGAATCTAAAGATGTCATAGCACAGTTGGAAAGGCCGTCACCCCGGGTCCGAGCCCTGAGTCTGCACCGAGCTTCTCCAGCTGGGCATCTGTGGCAGAGCTGCTGGTCCAACACGGTCTGGCACTCAGGGCCTTCAGACAGGGCATGCGTAGGGGTGGAGCTGTTCACAGAGGAAGCGGGGCCTAACCTCCCTGGGCAGCACTCTGACAGACCAGGTTCTGCTTAATAAGCTGCTAGAGACTTGCACCAGCCAGGGGCCAGGCAGGAAGGGGGCTCTGCGTCGGGGTCCCCGGGACCGTCCCCTCACTCACTTTGCATGTTTGATGGCCCCATCCAGGGTGCTGAAGAGCGCACCACACTCCTCCACCACGCAGTGGAAATGGGCCTTGTGGAGGAAGTCACACTGGGCATCGCAGAAGTCCTTGGTGCCAAACCTAGCAGAGGAACGTCAGTTACCAAAGAGCCTGGGGTGGGGGGTGGGGCAGCTGGGCAAGCAGGTGCCAGCCACCAAGGCAATGGGCGTGCCCCCCGCCCCCCACCCGCCCCAGGCCTCTCACCTTCGGAGGTACACCTTCCAGGGCTCAGAGAGCTTGTCTGGAACCAGCGTCTTCACCGCCTTGCCCAGGAAGGGTGAGGGCTCGGCAGCGGGGCTCCCCTCCGCTTCCGCCTTGATGTTCAACAGGCTGCCGAGGCCGGGGTTGGCCTGAGACATCTGTGGGGACAGAGGCTGTGACTGGCTGCTCTGAGCCCGCCTGGCTTTGCCTGAGGGAGACTCCTGGTCTCCCCATCTCCCCTGGAGACGCAGGGCGGAGTGAGGGGACTCCGCTGCAGCCCAGATGCGAGATCCATCCGTCAAGCAGCAGCCGCCACTCTGGGCACACGGCGACCCATCTCTCCCCAGACTTTGCGGCTCCCTGGTTATTTTCCTGCCAGAAGGTTTTCAAAAGACGAGTAGGAGGAGGAGGGGGGAGGGGGAGAGGAAGGGAAGGGGGAACCCCTATGAATTCCTTGAGAACAAGAGAAGGCATACAAAGAAGGAGCAGGAAGGGAAGGGAAGAGGAGGAGGGCAAGAGGTGGCTGTGGGGGAGGAGTGGGGGGTGGCACCCGGCTCCTCAGGAAGGAATGAGAGTGTGCCAGGGGCAGAGAATGGGGGGGGGGAAGGACGGCAAACAGCAAGCAGCAGAGGGCAGGTGGCAGGGCCCGAGCCCAGGAGCTGCTTCCCGCTAGGCCCATCCCGTGAGGTCCAGCCCAGGCCCAGCTCCTCTTCAACGCAGTCACTTGTGTCGAGTAACCAAATTAATCTTGCTGCAGTCAAATTTATCATGTGAAGGGGAAAAATATATTTGAGATGATGTATAATTTACAAAGACCCTGCATTATTTAAAATAAATATTCTGGAGCAACCTCTCTGGAAGGCATCCGGGACCATTACTCAATCTGAAAAGTGGGAATTGATGCTTTTCACCCACTTTGGGAAACTCTCCCCCTCCCTCCCACCCCCCATCCTTCCTAAACAAACAAAAAGTATATATATGTATATATATATATACACATATATATAATAAGTAACAGGAATAACTAAGGGTGAGAAAAGTTAGAGGGTTCTGGAAAAGCTTTTGGAGTCCTCCATCTGAAGGGAGAAAAAAAAAAGGTGTCAGAGGCTGGAATATATTTCTTCAGCCAGTTCATTAAATTAATTTGTAAGCAGTGGCTCTGAAATTATATTCGATGAAAAATGGCCTCAAAATTTAAATGGTACAAACTCATCTTATTAGAGGGAAAACATTAAAAAACAAACACATCCCCCACCCCCCAGCACAGCTTTAATTTCTCTGGGTGGGGGACGGGGAGGCGTGTGATGGATGGTTCTTACCTTATTCATAAGCGAGGATAAAAGAGATGAATTTGCCGGGACTGCGTGGCCATTTGATTCATTACTAGAACACACAAACCAAGGGACTCAGCTCAGACATCTGCGGGCCTGGGCCCCGAGACGCACCCCTCCCCGCCAGTCCCGGCTCTGGCTCTGACCCTGCCTGCTGCAGCTGCCTGACCAGGAGGGGTACACCCTGAGTGGGAACGAGGGACCAGGCCTCGCCAGGGTCCAGCTTGGATGGTGCCGTGGTGGGGCCTCCTCTCTGGGGCCTCCTCTCCAAGGCCCGTCTGACTCTGCAGCAGCCTCTCCTCACCTGGGCTCCTTCACAGTCAGGTCTAGACTGCGATCTTGGGAGACTTCGTGGGGGCCTGGGGTGCCAGCGCTCTCACCGGGCTCCTGCTTCACCTGGGCCTGGGGGAACCTGGCCGGGGTGACCTGCTGCCCGCTTCCTGCAGGGGAGGGAAGATGGGGTTCAGAGGAGCTCAGGGTTCTCATGGGCATAAACTCTGCCCCCCACCCCCGCATCCCATGGAAGGGAGGGCGGCGGCTGGGTGGGCAGGGGCTTGGGGGAGGCCCGGGCTGCTGGTCAGCGATTCTCCCCACTGACGTGATCGTTTGCGACGCTTTCTCCTGTGTGGCAATTCTTTAAGTGATAATTATTGCAAAATTATGTCAAAGTTGTCCTGGCTTGGGGCCTCCCGGAGGAGGAGGGCGGGAGGCTGGGGAGGGGGCTGGGGCGGGGGGCGAGGACCCTTCATTTTCTCCACCAACTGTCACAGTCGATTTGTGGGGCTGCCGTGTAAGCTTTTATTAAAGACTCTGTTAATGCTGAGGGAAAGTGGCAGATCTGGACTGGGAGCGGCCCCTCCGTGGTCCCTGGCCCGCTGTTGCCCGGGCGACGGCCCTGCCTGCACTGAGCATGCCCGGGGAGGGTATCTGCTGTGTCAGGACTCTTGGGACTGACGGCCAATCAGGGTGCTTCAAACTGTGTGACCTCGAGGGCGAGCCGTCCAGGGGAAGGGGCTCGGGGGCCGCCCGGGTGACCTGGCTGGGTCTGGCGGGCAGCTGGGCAGGCGGAGGCTGCAGGAGGCTGGGCAGAGCAGGGAGGAAGAAGTTGCTGACAGGAAGGTGTCCACCAAGCCTTGTTCCACAATCCCCAAGTGACTGAAATATTAATTTGCCCCAAGGCGCTACAGCTGAGCGGGCTGCTCCACAGACAGAAAAAAGTGGCGTTTTATTAAAAATAAAGGAAAATGGTTTCCCTCCCGCTTTGACCTTTCTTGGCGAGAAAGGAGATTCCCCCCCCCCCCCTTTAAGGAAAAAGAGAGCAGTTGACAGTCTGGTGGCTGAGCTCAGGGTGGCCCGTTCCACAGGCCCCTGCCACCACTGGAGGGGCGTGGCCAGGGCAGGCCTCTCCACTATCACGTGAGGCGTGGAAAGTGCTACGTGGCACCGGGCACCTCTCCGAGCGTCCCACTGGATACACACGTCTCCGAAGGTCCCCAGGGAAGCGGGGCCAGCACCCCGGTGGAGGTGCACGCGGAGGAGCCCCGGTCCCATAGCCATGCTACCGAGGACAGTCAGCCTCACCACCACGCAGGGCCTTCGCTCTGCCCTTTGCCTGTGCCCTCAGCGCCCGGCTCAGTGCCAGCCCCCAGCAAGCCCCCAGCAAGCTGCTCTCCGTAAGCACCCAGGGTTGTTAAATGAATGAATGAATGGAATGGCGTGAGCCACATCCCAGGCGTGAGCTGAACTCTTTTCGAGGACTCGGATAACACGAATAGCTCTTTGTAGGAAACATAGGGAGAGGAGTGGGGAAACAGGAAAAGAAAAAAGAAAGGGAGGAAGGGATGTAGGAAGGAAGGAAGAGTTAGGAGAGCTGCCCTTACAGTGGCCAGCGAGGCCACCAGCGCTGAGCCCATGGCTCTGGCCCGCGCCGTCGGAGGGGGCCGCCGCTGGGCAGGTGTGGATACTTGATTAGCACCTGCAAGCAGGCCTGCGCACCACGCCAGCCACTTCAGCACACCACAGCTGCACATGACCACCATGCTGAACAGCGCTGAAAAGGTCCTACCAGCCAAGTGCTGGTGGCTCACGCCTGCAATCCTAGCTGCTCAGGAGGCTGAGATCTGAGGCTTGCAGTTCAAAGCCAGTCTGAGTGGAAAAAGCTGCGAGACTCTATCTCCAATTAACTAGCAAAAAGAAAAAATTGGGAAGTGGAATTGGAACAGCGCCAGCCCGAGCAAAGGAGCTCAGAAGCAGCATCCACACTATGAGTTCAAGTCCCAATACTTGCAGGCATGTGACTGCACGTGTGCACACGCACACACACACACACACACACACACACACACACACACACATTCTACTGGGGAGAAGCTGGGCAGCATCCCTCAGCCTGGAAGGGCTGTCCAGTGTCCAGATGTCAGGGCAGTCACTCTGCCACTAGGCTAGACTCCTCCCTCTCCAAGTCAGCTGGAGAAGACCCGAGGGAAGAAGGTTCTAGAACAGCTCTCCTGGGGCTCATCAGTGACATGAGTGTTGGGCAGACAGGACGCTACCAGGACACAGAGGTACCCAGGGGGCAGGACCAGTGCCCTGCTCCACAGATGGAGAAGCAGAGGAATGAGCTTGCTGGGCCCTTGGCCACAACGAAGGGCCCCAAAGAGGAAACAAACAGAATGGAGACAGAGACCAGGCAAAGAGGGGGTACTGGTGAGCAGAGACTAGGGGGCAGGGACCAGGCATCCACTCTTCCCAGCCCCGCCCTGTCCTGCTGGACCTGAGCACAGGAGCCCGCTGGATGCAGAAGGCACTTCCTTCCTGGGCGAGGCCCTGCCTGCTCACCTGGGTCAAAGGTGGCAGAGGGCTTGAGGGCAGCCGCAGCTAGTCTGGCCATCATGGGTGAGATTAGGCCTTTGCTTGCAGAAATCCTCTCCATGATGGAGGCAGGGGGCACCGGGACAGAGGTGGCAGCCACGGGGGCCGAGTCTCCAGCTCCTGAGGCCACCAGCGCTGGCGGATCAGGAGTGGCTGAGGCTGGTGCCCCGGAGGACATGGCACCCAGCAGACCGGGGGCACCCACAGGCAGCGTGGTGCTCCCGCGGCCAGGTAGGAGGGAGAAGTAGGGTGCGGTGGTGGGCAGGCCTGAGTTGGAGAGGGCCAGTGCCAGGGGGATGGAGGCAGGCAGGCCCTGGGGCAGCAGCCCGGCGATCTTGCTGTTAGGTGGCTTGGTGGTGCTGGGCACGGCCTCTGGGGTGGCGGTGGTGGTGGCGGCGGCGGCGGCCAGCGACGCGGAGGACTGCTGGCTGGTGGGGGAGGCGCTCAGGCTGGAGTTCTTGCTGCTCAGGGCCGAGAAGTCGACGAGGTCGTCGTTGCTGGATTCCTCATGCTCCGTGTCCTTGGCGCCCAGCAGCGAGGCCGGCAGCCCCAGCGTGCCCGAGGAGCGGATGTGCCGGCGCTCGTGCTTGCGCTTGTGCGAGGTCATCTGGCTGGTGGAGGTGAAGGTGAAGCCGCAGCCGGCGCGGATGCAGTGGAAGTGGTTGGTGGCCTTGCTGTACACGCAGCCCTCATACTTGCACTCCTCGTACTTGTAGAACTTCTTGAAGCCGTCCTTGGCGTAGGCGTCGTCCTTGATGTGGTAACTCTTGTGCTTCTCGATGTCACACTTGTTCTTGAAGGTGAACGTGCAGCCGGGGCGCCTGGATGAAACATTGGGGGCCTGACCCAGGGTCTCACAGGACTTGGAGGAAGCCCTGCCCACTAAATTCCTGGGCGGAGCCAGTGCTGGTGGCTCACGCCTATAATCCTAGCTAGATCTGAGGATCTCAGATGGGAAGAGAACTCTGTGAGGCTCTCTCTCTCTCTCTCTCTCTCTCTCTCTCGGTCATGGGGCCTGAACTCTGGGCCTGGGCACTGTCCCTCAGCTCTTCAGCTCAAGGCTAGCGCTCTACCACTTGAGCCACAGCGCCACTTCTGGCTTTTTCTGCTTATGTGGTGCTGAGGAATTGAACCCAGAGCCTCATGCATGCGAGACAAACACTCTACCACTGAGCCACTTCCCAGCCCTCTGTAAGGCTCTTTTATTACCGATGAACCACCACAAAGTTGAAAGTGGAACTGTAGCTCAAGTGGTAGAACACCAGGCTTGATTGCAAATGCTAAGAGACAGCATCGGGACCCTGAGTTCAAGCCCCACACACACACACACACACACACACACACACACACACACACACACACACACACACCCTGGGAGGAACAGATGGAAGACCCAGGCTGCATACCAAGACTGCTTAGCCATTCCTGATTTTGTCCTTTTTCCCCGGGAGGAGCTGGAGCCTGGCTGTCCTGTGGGTGAGCCTCCCTGCCACCTCCCCAGCCGGGGCAGCGGTGTGGGCTAGTAATTTACCTGCAGTGGAAGTGCGTGGTTTTCTGTCCATAGAACTGGCAGTCGGCAGTGCCGCAGTCCTCGGTGGCTCGGAAGCGCTGGAAGCCGTCGTTGATGAGCTGCGTGTTCTTCTTGTGGAAGTTCTCGTGGGTCATGACGTCGGAGGTGCTCGTGTACACCTTGTTGCAGCCCACCTAGGCAGGCCAGAATGGCCGTCAGGGCATGGGAGCCAAGCCCGGCCCTCCTGGACCAAGGCCAGCGCGGCTGGGTGTGGCTGAGGACCGTGGGGGCCTCTGCTTGGGTGGACTGGGGGGGGCGCGTGAACCCTGGCGCTCCCCTTTATTTCAGGGGTTTGCTTGGTGGATGGTTCCTGGGCACCAGGCCCTCCCACCCACCTCAGCCGGGCCAGGCCGACAACGTTGCCATATTGAGTAAAAAAGCAGTGTCGCTGAGCACCCTGCGGGCTGGGCTGTGCCAGTGTCTGCAGCATCTCAGCCCACAGGGTGGCCCCCCTCTTCTTGGCCAGGTTGTCTTACAGAGCCCATAACAACCCCTGACAGACACGGAGGAGGCACGGGCTGCTCTGTGCAACCCCAAGTCGCTCCCTCTGGGCCTGACACCTTGAAAAAGCCCAGACTCAGTGTGGCATTAAAACAAAGAATTAAACAAAAACCTCCCCAGGAATCGCTCGCAATGCCGCTCCTGCTGTTAAAGCCTGAAAAATGTCGGTCTGTATAAACAGCTCGCTGAATTCCCCCCACACCAATTATGGCCACAGGGAAGGCCCCCACACTGGCCATCAGACAGACGCTGCCCACATCGGAGCTTCTGGAACACTCAGGGTGCCAGCTACCCCCAGTGCTGGACTAGAAGGAAGGGAGGCCCACGGGGGGGGGAGTGGGGAGGGGGGCAGCGGTGCCCAGGGGTCGGGGGAGAGGACCGTGGAGGGGTTCTGAGGTGCGGTCACCTGCATGCAGTGGTAGTGGGTGCTCTTCCCATTGAGGTGGCAGCCGTGGTAGTAGACGCTGCAGTCATCCAGCGGGCTGAAGCGCATGAACCCATGCTGCAGGGAGTTGTCACGCTTCTTGTGCATGTTGTAATGCCGGATGACGTCCTGCTTGCTCGTGAACCTCTGCCAGGAGAGAGCGCTGAGCTGGCAAGAGCCCCTGCCCCTAACCCGCGTGCCAAGGCTGGCTGCCCAGGCCAGGGCTGGCCCCAAAGCCCTCAGGTCACCCTATAAATAACCCCTCGTAGGGCCAGGGCAGGCCAGACTGCCTGGTGGGTTCCCAGACGCTGGCCGTTGGCAGAAATGAGCTGGAGGGCTCAGAGACCCTTCCTAACGTAACCTAACGTCCCCTGGCTCCCCAGCAGTACACACAAGATACACAGCCCCCGCCCTGACATCCAGGGCTCTGACAGAGGACAATACACCCCACGGTGGCCATGTAGGCTGCGCTGGCAAAACAGAAGAACCCTGTGCAGACTGCCCAGCACCACCAGGTCACCAGCCCTGGTCAACACCAACTCACCAGCCCTGCCCAGTATCCCCAACCTCAGGAGACCATGGACAGAGTCAGTTAGCAAGGGGCACAGGCTGATGGGCGGAGTCATTAGTCCATGCTCAATTCCCAGTGAAAGGGGGGGGGTCACCAGGGCAACAATGGCTGGAGGCCCTACTGGGGCCTTTCTCAGCTGCTATCCAGGGATGTGGGTGGGCTGGTAGCTGTCCAAGTGAGGTGACCTGCCCACCTAGGCCCATGCTCCTTTCCCCTCCAGGAAGCCCTGGGCGGACAGGCGGGGTGCGGCCCATACCTGGTAGTTGCACTCGGGGTCCAGGCAGTGGTAGTGCTCGCGGTACTGGTAGGCACAGTGGATGTGGCCACAGTGCTGGCTGCCAGAGAACCTGAAGAGAAGAGTGAAGGGGTCAGCCCTGGAAGGCCTCTCTGCTAGGGTCCTAGGTCTGAGCAGCCCCTGTCCACACAGCCTGGGTGGGAGTGTGTGTGTGTGTGTGCGGGGGAGACAGGTGAAGTGGTAGAGGTCTGGGGACAGCAGGGCCAAGCATTGGGCCTGTCGGGAATCCCAGCTGCCTGCCAGCCTCTGCCTGGGAGAGAGTGCCCGCTGAGACAGGCCTGGCACCCAGGTGGGTAAGGAAAGTGGAACAGGCCACGAGCGCAAGTTGGAGGAGGGACCGACAAAAGACCTGGAGCTTCTGCAGGTGGCCGATGACCCATTCGTGTGCCCCCCCTTCCCCCAGCCCAGGCCTGGCTGCACCAGCCAGGGCTCTGCGGCTGAGAAGTGTTAAAGGGCTCTCTCTGTTCTGGGCTTTTCCTGACACTTGAAACAGTCCAGAGTTATGAATTTTTAAAGCAGAGCATCTGTTTGGCTTCCCGTGGTAGGAGCTCACTCTCCAGCCGAGTGCGCAGCCCGGAGCTCCACGCCGCCCAGCCACCCCAGCTCTGCGGCCACTGGCTGGCGTGCGGATGGTCCAGCCTCCGTGGGGCCATCCCGGGGGCAGCTCTGAGAGTGTGGCCATGGCCACGGGGCAGGGGGAGGGAGGGGGCTTCACTCGGGTCCCCACTGCAGACGATGGGGTTTCAGGAGATGGGAAGAAGCCCACTGCTGGGGGGGGGGAGGGAGGAGAACTACTCACAAATCAATGTTTAAGTGGAAGCTGCCAAAAGGACCATCGACTAAAAGCCCCGATAATAACGATGGTGATAATAATGATGGTAATAATAATCAAGAGAAGACAGAAGAGTGGAGCGGGGAAGACAGAGGGACAGGAAGAAGTCGGAAGATCATAGAAAAAGCTGCTGCCAGGCTGTGGCCCCGGCTGGCGCCAGCCTTGGGGAGGGGGCAGGGGCTGGTCTGGAGGTTCTTTGAGGGTCTTCACTGGCCAGTCCTGCTGCCTTTGGAATGGAAACCAGTGGACCTGGAGCCGTGCGTCATCAGGGCCATGGAGAAGGACCACTGTCTTTCCCCTTCTCACAGCTCCACAGTGGCCATCTCTCCATCCCAGGTCCCCGGGGGTGTGGGGCCGGAACCCGGGCAGGGCCGGCACTCACCTGCAGCCAGGCCCTCCCGCTGAGCCTCTTGTCCCCAGCCCTACCTGGGGACAAAGCTATTTAGGGACTATGTGGCCTGGGCACCACCCAAGAGGCAGGGCTGACGTGGTCAGCTTAGGGCCAGTCGGGAGGGGGCGGGAGGAGGCAGCCTTGCACAGCCCGTCCCACCCCCTCCCTGCTCCTGGCGTCCCCCACCTTCTCTCCACAGTCTCCTCCCCAGGGGCCTACCTGGCAATATATTTCTGGTAAATGTTTACATCTTCGGTGACAGCTGGTTTATCTGTGGGCAATCCGTTCCTGGTGAGACACACAGGGCACAGCTGATTAGTGGACGGGGCGGCTCAGCCCCAGTGCATCTGGAGGGTAGCTCTCCGCCCTGCATCCTGGCCCTTCCCTTCTGGGTTCTCCAACAGGCTCGGGATGGGACTGAGAGTCTCTTGGTAGAAGCCTGGCAGAGGCTCAGTTAGGCCAACTCTGCTGAGGACTGGGCTGCCCAGAGAAGGTGAGGCCAGAGGGCTAGAGGCCCAACCAGGCCAACAGCGCACCCAGACAGGAAGTTTCAGAAACTGAAGCCTGGCTCCCAGCATGCACCGAGCATGAGGGTACTGCCGACTGGTTGGGGCCTGCAGCAGACGGAAGGATATCGTTCGTCCGTATGACCAGGCTAGTTTTTCCGTCCCTGGGTTAAGGCCGAAAGGACCTATGCATCTCCCTGCCAGCCTTCTAGCGGCTTCTTCCTGCCTCCTCCGTGGTCCAGGCTCTGAGCCCAAAGCCAAGAGTATGGCATGGCCTCCAGAGTGGAGCAGTGTCAGCCCGCCACAGCCTGTGCTCAGTCCTGGTGGTAGCAGTCAGAAGAAGACAATGTGGCAAACAAGGGGTTAGCAAGGGGTCATGGGCACGTGTCCGGGTGTGTGACAGCAAGTACATGGGACATATAGAATATGCAGGTTCACCAGACGAAGGTACAGGAAGGGTGTGTGTGTGTGTGTGTGTGTGTGTGTGTGCATGGTGGGGGGCTGAGCTGGCGTAAGTGCATGTGCCCACCACTGTGGGCTTCATGGGTAAGGAGGGGGGCCTCTCCGCCTCTCTGCTTAGTCCTGTCCCAAGGCTCAGGTGGCGGGAAGGGGAATCGAGGGGGGCTTACTTGACAGTGGAGACGGTCCCCGTGGTGATGGAGTCTGTTTTGGAGAAGGTTGACTTCAGGTATTCGGGAGTGTTGAAGGAGAGGGAGGCAGGTGGCTCGGGCCCCGGCCCTGGGGCACTGGGGGTGCTGGGCATGCTGGCGAGGGGTGCGGGAGCCAGGCTGGGGGCAGGCGGACCCTTGGCGGGGCCGGGCTTCTGGATGCCCCGGACGTCGTACTTGGAGGGCCGCCCCACCTTGCCGGTCTTGAAGGCGATGGCCCCGCCCATGTCCGGGCTTCCCTCCCCGGGCTTGAAGAGGTGCAGGTACTTGACGTTCTCTAGGTCGTACTTGGACGGCTTCTTGTAGGTGCTTCCGTTCTGGGGCCGCAGGTTCTCGCCCGTCTTCAGTTTCTGGATGAAGAAGTCGTACTTGGAAGCGCGGGCCACCAAGTTCTGCATCTGGAGGCTGCTGGGTGAGGGCAGGGGCAAGATGGTGGCTTTGGTCTCCAGGTGGGCGGTGTTGCTGGGGAGCCGCAGGCTGGGCAGGGGACCCACCCCCTCCTTGCCCACCCGGTCCTCGGCCTTGGTGCCATGGGCTGGCCAGGAGAGCTGCTCGCCGGCCTTGAGCTTGCGGATGTACTCCTCGTACTTAGAGAACCGGGCGCGTTTGCTGAGGCCGTCCTCAGAGGTGGGCAGCATGGACGAGGCTGCCGCCTCGGGGGTGGAGCCAGCGTGAAGCTTCTCGAAGCTGATCTTCCTGGCCAACTCATCCCTTGTGTTCTGGTCGTCGTAGCCAAACATGCCAAGGAACTCGGTCATGGTGGATGCCGCGTAGTCCCGCAGGGAGGAGGCCTCTCCTACAGGGGGAGGGGCAGGTCACCTCTGGGGGAAAGGGGGAGCAGGAGAGGGGCAGGAGGCCCCCCACGGTGGACTCCCCCCCCCCAGGGGGAGGAGGCCGGCATGGGGAGGGGGCGGAGCAGGACATGATCTATGGACATTTGGCTCACTTGTTAGGTTTTATGACTCTTAAATTAATTTGTTTTAAAAAAAAGTAATTAATACTGGGGTAAAATAAAACGAGTTCATCAATGCCAGGAAAATCAATTTCCTAAATGTTCTGGCCGATGGCTTTTCAGTACATTAAACAAAGTTTCATAAATGTCTCCGCTCCCTTGCCTTGGCCTAATATGAAAGAGAAGTCATTTTACTGGAAGTAAGGACAGATCCCGGTCTACCTTCTCGAGTGGGAGCTGTGGTAGTGGGCCGGCCGGCCGGCCAGTCCTGGAGGCAGCCCAGGGCTGAGGGAGATGCTCTGGGTAAGGGAGGGGGGCCCACCTGGAGGGCCTTCCCTGACCCCCACAAATGGATCTCCTGAGCAGATGGGGCTTGTCCTGAGACATGACAGGACCTGGCCTTCTTGGCCAGGCTCCTCAAGCTGTGATCTTCAGCGTGAGTGCTGAGCAGGGGCCGGGCCCGTGCTGATGCGCCTACCCAGCCTCCCTCGGGCTCCCTGCTCCAGCCTCTCGGCTGTCCCTGTGTGCACACACAGGTTGCTCACTGGAGAGTAAGGGCGAGGGCCAGCAGCACTGACCCATCCACCTTCCCCACAGTCTGCACACAGGGCGTACTGACTCTGGAGGGGCCTCCCATATGCACATACATACACACCTTCCCATGAAGTCACACGCATACTCTCACATACACCTGTTTCCTCCTACGCACCTTCACACACCCACGTACACAAGCTCACATCCATGTGCTGGTTCACATACTCACAGGTTCACATCCCTTAGCTACCTTCCCCAACTCTACAAACATACCCACAGACAATCTCTTAAACCCCACGTGCAGATCCTCACCACAGCCCCCAGGTGGCTGGAGGAAGTGAGCCCATCCAGTGCCACCTTCTCACTGGGCACCTTGATTCTCTCTTTCTTTCTCTCTCTTTCTTTCCCTTCCTTCCTTCCTTCCTTCCTTCCTTCCTTTCTTTCTTTCTTTCTTTCTTTCTTTCTTTCTTTCTTTCTTTCTTTCTTTCTCTCTTTCTTTCTCTCTCTCTTCCTTTTCCTTCCTTCCTTCCTTCCTTCTTTTCTGGGGGGACGGTTATGGGGCTTGAACTGTAGGCCTGGGCGCTGTCCCTGAGCTTTGGGGCTCAAGGCTAGCACTCTACCACTGGAGTCACATCTCTTACTTCCAGCTTTTTGTTGTTAGCTGGAGTAAGAGTTGCATGGTGGCTGGGTGCCGGTGGGTCACACCTGTCATCCTAGCTATTCAGGAGGCTGAGATCCGAGGATCACAGAGATCCGAGGATCACAGTTCAAAGCCAGACTGAACAGAAAAGTCCATGAGACTCTTATTTCCAATTAACTCTCAGAAAATCGGAAGTGACGCTGTGGCTCAAAGTGGTAGAGTGGTAGCCTTGAATGAAATGAGCTCGGAGCAGTGCCTAGGCCACAAGTTCAAGCCCCATGATTGACCAAAAAAAAAAAGAATCTCAGGAACTTTCTTGCCCAAGCTGGTTTCAAACAACGATCCTCAGATCTCAGCCTCCTGAGTAGTGAGGATTATAGGCATGAGCCACCAGCATCCCTACCATCTTTTTTTTTTGCCAGTCGTGGAGCCTGAACTCTTGGCCTAGGCGCTGTCCCTTAGCTCTTCAGATCAAGGCTACTGTTCTACCACTTGAGCCACAGTGCTGCTTCTGGCTTTTTCTGCTTATGTGGTGCTGAGAAATTGAGCCCAGGGCCTCATGCACGCAAGGCAAGTGCTCTACCACTGAGCCACCTTCCCAGCCCTATCCCTAGCATCTTTTTTTTTTTTTTGTCGGTCATGGGGCTTGAACTCTGGTCCTGGGCGCTGTCCCTGTGCTCTTCAGCTCAAGGCGAGCGCTCTACCACTTGAGCTACAGCGCCACTTCTAGTTTTCTAGTGGTTTATTGGCGATAGGAGTCTCACGTTCTTTCCTGCCCAGGCTGGCTTTGAACCGAGATCCCCAGATCTCAGCCTCCTGAGTAGCTAGGATTACAGGTGTGAGCCACCAGTGCCCGGCTCTAGCATCTTAATTCTTATGCCCTGAAAGAAAGCTCTGTGCACACAGGCGGTGAGACTCTCACAGCCCAGGGTACCCACGCTCTCTCTACTGGGGTGTGAGTCTACCCATCTGGGCACAGAAAGGTGGCTAAGCCTCCCAGTCTGGGGCTCTTAGCAGCTAGGGGAAGCCGGAGAGGACCCTTCTTTACTGAACCACATCCACTCTTGTCAGGTGCGGGAGTCTCAGAGCACACACCAGGGTGTCTGAAAGAACATGGTGGGGCCTGGCGGCACAGCACCAGCTGTGAATATGGAAGGGACTCTGAGCTTCTGGGGGGAGGGGGACATTTCGGAGGGGGGGCACTGGGATCTCACTGAGGACAGGACAGTCCCAGGCGGCATTCTGGCACCCAGGCTGGGCAGAGTGACTCAAGGAGTTCACGGACATCTGGTCTCCTGGCAGGCCCCAGGTCAGTGCGGGCCTGTGCACCAGCCTACCCAGGTTGGGGGCTGGCCTGGCGGGGAGTGGGCTCCGTCGACTGCTGGATGCAGTGGCTCAGGGACCAGGGAGAGGGGCTAAAAATAGCTGGAGGCAGCTGAGCCCTCACTATATATGGCAGAGAAACAGAAGGCTCTGAAGGGCAGGCAGCTTCGAGCAGGGAGGGGGCCAGGCGGGGGTCCCAGAGGCAGCCCAGAGCCCCCCACCCCCCGCAGGCCTTCCTGAGCCCCCAGGCACATAGAAGGTGGCCTAGGGAGCCAAGCTCAGGGTGGGCAGCTGGGGCCGTCTCGGGCTGGCCAGGAGGCCATGGGCTGTCCAAGCCCCGCCTCCTGCCAGGAGGTGAGGCTACTCCCCTATCTCCAGGCCTTGAGCAGAGCCCGGGGTGAGCCCAGGGAAAGCTGAGGGGACAGCGGCCCTTGTCCCTGTCCCTCTCCTCTCCCCGGCCCCGCACAATCACCTTGTGTCTGGCAGCGGCAAGGGCTTTTCCTATCAGAGGAAACTGAAGGTCACACTTTTCCTCATTGATCTTGCAATGTTTGTTAATTACTCTGTCACTGATGTGGCGAAGGATAATTAAACAGCTCTGTTTATATCTTATATGCATAATTATGTGGCTGCGCAGGGCTCCCCGCACAGGGAGGAGATGCGCCCCTCACTGCAGGGGGAAGGGGACTGGGGAGCGGGCAGGGGAGGGGCCTGGCTCCGGGAGAAGCCTGGAAGGAGTCTGTGGAGAACAGCCAAGGCCCAGTTCCTGGGGCTCCTCACAGGGAACCCCAGGCCTGCCCTCCCGGAACAGAAAGAGCAACGGGCTGTTCTGCGTCTTGAGGTCAGGGGGACACTGGAGAAGCTGGGCCGGGGCCATCTTGTGGGAGAGGTCAGCCAGAGGACCAGGTCTGGGCAGCAGGGTGTAAGGGAATCTGCTGGCTAGGCGGGTCAGTCCTCCTGCGAGGGGCAGAGGGGTGGTACGGACCGGACCGCGGGCAGGGGAAGGCTGAGGGGGACAAAGCCCACCGAGGGCTCACGTGGTGCAGTGCGTGGGGCCCCCAAGCCTACCCCTGGCTCCCCACTCCAGGTATCATGGCCCCTGGACACTTTGCTGGTGTGTGCCATCATGTCAACCACCAGCTACCCTTCTATCCATCCATCCTCCATCCACACAGCCATCCACCCACCTGTCCCTCTAGCCTTTGTCTCTGATCCTCTGCCTGCCAGGAGTCCGTGCGGGTTGGATGAGGGGCTGGCCTTTGGAAGTGCAAGCGGGCACGCTCCCCGGACACAGCACCCTTCTCGGCTTCCCCGTGGCGCTGTGCCTTTTTCCAATCTTTGACCCCCACCCCTACCCCGGAGCCAGCCACTCACCTGAAGCCTGCTTGCCACCAGAGCTACCATCATCCTTTGCGGCCGGTCCATCCGCGTCCTTGTCCTCCAGGCCCCCGCTGTCCTTGCAGGGCTCCTGTGCGTGGTCTTCCTCGTCGCTGCAGCCCTGGGGCTGGACCATGTAGACACCCTCGGGCGGCAGCTCCAGGCCCTCACGGGCGATGCGCCCCAGCACGGGCGCGGGCGCCGGCTCCTCGCTGTACTCCCCATTCACCCACTTCTCGATCACCGCCCGTCTCTTGTCTTCTTCGCTGCGGGGGGCCCGGGTCACCCCAGACTCAGGGCCACTGCGCTCCTTGTCCCGAGGCCGCAGGGGGCTGCCCTCGGCTGGGGGGCCGCCGGCCTCCGCTCCCTTCTCCACCACCACCTGGCGGCTCAGCTTGGCGCAGATGGCGTTGAGTTTCAAGCCGCCTTTGCGCTTGGCCGCCATGGCCGGCTTGCCTGCGGGCGGGTCTGTGCACCGGGTGCCTTCAGCTGCGGGGAGGGAGGGGGTATGGCGGTGAGAGGCCTGCGTGGCCGAACACAGGCACCCCGCCCCCACCTTGGGCAGGCCCACACCCCCAAGCCACAGGTCTCCCCATATCACACAATATCACATCAATCATGTCATATCCATCATGGCTCCATCGAAGTGCTCTGAGACCACCTGGCGTAGCCTCATCTCCCCCGCCAGGCTGGGAGGGCTGGCAGGACCCCCGAGCTGCTTTATCCTTAAAGCCTACTACAGTGCCTGGCATGTAGTGGCTCAAAATGAATGAATGAGCCAGGCACCAGTGGCTCATGCCTGTAACCCTAGCTACTCAGGAGGCTGAGATCTGAGGATCACGGTTCAAAGCCAGCCAGGGCAAGAAAGTTCATGAGACTCTTATCTCCAATTGACCACCAGAAAACCAGAAGTGGCATTGTGGCTCAAGTGGTAGAGTGCTCGCCTTGAGCTGAAGAGCTGAGCGACAGTGTCCAGGCCCAGAGTTCAAGCCCCATGATCCCCCTCCCCACCAAATGAATGAATGAATGAATAGCTCATTAAATCCAAGTCTTCTTCCTGGCATCTGGTTCCAGGAAGCATGTCCTGGGCTTGTTTGGCCCTCAAAAGCCCCACATAAGGGGTGGCACCTCCAAAGACACAAGGGTCGTGTCGTGGGGCGCTGAGGCGCAGGTGCTGAGGGGGACAGGACTGCTCGGGGGAGGCTGGCGGGGCCGCTCCTCCGCTCCACCTGCCTGGGATTCACCTCACCACAGGTCCCTGGGGAGGACTCGGCCGCCGCCAGCTTCCCGCCTGGGCCAGACTCTTGCCTTGCCGACCCAGCAGCTCCAGGCTGGCATCCCTCCACCCGAGCGTGCCATCCTCTGGCATTCCTGGGCCAGGTCAAGTCCCTGGGCCCCACAAACCACAACTTCTGCTCGTGGACCACGGAGTCCTTCTCCTCGGCCAGTGGCCACTCAGGATTTCCAAAAGACCTCCATCTTCCTTCAGGAACTTCCTCATCGGGGTCTTCCCAGCTCCCTACCCCCACCCCCGGAGCCTCTCTGGCCATCCACACACAGAGCTCCTCCAGAAGGCTGCTCCTCCCCTCCCGGGACTTCCTGCCTTCTCCTGCTGTGCCTTGGCTGGCTCCTGGAGCCCGGAAAGCCTGGCCACTCCTGAGAAGCCCAGAACACGTTGGGACAGCCACAGAGCCCCTGGGCAGAGCTGGACCATGCCGTGTGGCTGCTTGGTCTGCACTCTGCCCAATCAGGGCCCACAGAGTGTTGGGGACATAGGGCCTGGAAGGCCAACAAGAGTGCACACAGCACATATAGCACCCAATTGTCCATCTGTCTGTCCATTTATCCGTTTAGTGCGCACAGGGTGGTGGCCAGGTGAAGGGGTTCAGCTCACATTCCTTTGTGTAGGTGGGAGCCCCATTCAACCATGCCTCTCACACCCCTTCCCAGGGAAACCTGCAGATTCCTGGAGGGAGAAGAGACTCAGACCTGCTCCTCGGGCCTATGGTCCAAAGGCACTGCTCTACGACGGAGCAAACCCCACGAAAACACATACCCACGGAGAGGCCAGAAGTGTGTTCCCAGAGGCCCCAGCCCACATGGGGACGCACACAGATAACTGTCCCTTGACAGACACAATAGTATTGCTGCCCCAGATCCTTGCCTTGTCGTTAGCTGATAGAGGTGCACGGCCTTGCTGGCTCAGCTCACTGCTGCACAAGGGTCTGCCCAGTCTGCTCACTGTTCTCTCAGTCCCGGGCCCCCATGGCTTCAGGACCCCGAACCCTTGCCTTTGCTGGATGTCCATTCTACTCATGACCGTCTACAGCTCCAAGACTTTGCGGAGTTTCCCTGCCTCTTTCTGCAGGGACACAGAGCTCCTAGAAGCCCAGCAGTGTGCCCCGAACCATTGCCCCAACCCCGTCTCACCTCTGAGCCAGCTAGCAGGCCTCATCTGGCCCGCTGTGTCCCCCGTCCTGGATGGGGAAGGGAAGGGCAGGCGTGGGGGAGGGGAAGCCTACACTATTTTTACCAGGAGGTATGCAGCCAAGTGTGTATGGCAGACGGCAAATGAATCTATAAATATTTATCCCAAGGAAGAGGGAAGCAGAAGCTCCCCAGGCTGCACTTGCTGCTGGTGACACCCCCTTCCCGGGCCCCCCCCACCCATCTTGGAGGCTCCCGAACCCTGGCCCACCCAGCCCAGCCCACCCTCTCTTGGTCTCGGCTGTGTGCCTGCTCAGTCCGGGCCTGGCACCCCCCCCACCAGCTGTGCTGCAGCTGTGCACCCGGGGCCCGCCCCCAACCCTAGGCCCCTTTGCTCCTGCCAACTCCCCTTACACCTGCCCTCCAGCTGCTGCTCAGCCCCAGCCCACCTGCCGTCCAGATGTTGCCCTCCCTCTGGCTCCCCTGCGGATCCCAAGGGTGGAGGAGGTGGCCGGGACGCAGGGGCAGAGGCAGAGGCAAGAGTTATGGTGGTAAGTGCCAACACGTGTGGGGCTGAGGTGGTGGGAAGGGGGGGTACGTCTGGGGCTGAGGGCTCAGCTGCTGCCTGCCCGCTTTCCCGCCTACCCCCTGGAACTTTGCCACTGCCACTCCAGCAAGGCCCTGGGACCCACAGACTACCCACCCCCACGGTCTGACCCCAGACTCCTGTCCATGTAAACATGCCTCTGACTTTCTTCCCTAAAACATAAACGCCGTGGCCAGGCCTCAATGGGAGGAAGCCATCCGTCCCCGGCCCTGTCACTGCCCCTTTCATCTCCTTCCCGCCACCAGCCTGCCCGCTGCTCTATTTACACTGGACACTTCCTCTGGGAACAATACTGCCCAGGAGGCAGGCCTGGGCTGGAGGACGGGAGGGCCGAGGACTCCTGCCCCGTTCACTCAGGGACAGGCAGACTCGGGGGTGAGGGCCGGGGAGGAACAGCCCAGACAGACCTTGAACAGCCCACGCCACTCCTGGTGGCCTGTGTCACTGGTTCCCAGTGGCTCTGGGGTGAATGCTGGGAGGGGGTAAAGTGCAAGCCGCAGCCTGGTCCCTGAGCGGAGGGAGGCAGGAGCTCCCGGCCTGACTGCCGGCCCCAGGCCTCGGCCAGCTTTGGGCCCTGAAGAAAAGCTGCAGGCTGCAAGTGTGGGCCAGGCCCAGAGCCTGGCATGCAAGGATCTGAGAGAAATCAGCTGAGCTCTAGTGGGGGGGGGGGGGGAGTGGGGGGGGGGGGGGGGACAAAACGGGCAGATGTGCTGCCACACCTGGTTCAACATGCTCCAGCCAGGTAACCTCACTTGGCCGGGGAGAGGCAGGGCCAAGGGCCAGGCCTAAGGCTGCCCTCACAGCCCTTCCTCTATTCCAGCAAATGGCCCCTCCTTGGCTCCCCAGGTTCCAAAGCTGCCCTGCCAGGGCTCCAAACTCAACGAGCCCCCAGAGGCGGCCCCTGCGGGGGCGGCACCAATGGTCCTTTACGGCAGACGCTCACCAAAGCTTCCTAAGAACCCAGATGAGCAGGCGCTAGACCAGGAAGCTGATCTGCCGCTGCCCTCACAGGCTGGGGCCGAGCCCGGTCCGCAACCCAGCTCCAGGGAGGTCCAGGCCTCCCTGCCCGGGGCTCTTTACTTCCCCCATCCCGACTTCCTGTTCCCATACCACAGAGCCCCCTAAAGTGTTAACTGTGATGGGTAAAATGGTGCGGCAGATTGCTACAATAAATAATTTACTGATATTTATAAATATTCAAATCAGCCAGCTTCAGAAATCGAATGAAGGGAGGGCCTTGGGAGAAAGGCCCAGTATGGCATGAATCTCATCACTCCCTCCGAAGGCTGCCGAGGCCAGGGCTCCTGCCAGCGCTGGGTGAGAAGGGGGTGGGGGAGGGCTCCTGGAACTGCACCTGCCCCCCCCTCCCCGGCCGTGTCCCCCGATCTTTCCGATCAGGGAGGTAAAGGGCTGGAAGGAGCTAGAACTGTTCCTTTCTCACCCAGTCAGAGCCAGGCCCTCTCCTACAGGCAGCCTGGGCTCCAGGGGGAGGAGAGAGGCTTGGAGGTCACCGTCCGTGGCCCTGGGTCTGGGAGTTGCTTGTCCTGCCAAGGGGAGGGCAGTCCCAGGGGCCCGGGGAAGGCCTGGCACCCCCTCCCCATCCGTGAGTAATGTGTTTCGGGGCTGGGCTGCCTGTCAGCTACCAGGCTCCGGGTGCTTTATGGGCTCTGCTTGGTGGCTCTGAACTCCCTGGTAGGAAATAAAGTTCTCCCCGCGCGTCCCTTCTAAACATTTCACTCAGTGGAAACGGTGTTTAAGAAAAATGAGGACATATTTCTTCCTAAGGATGCAGAATCCCTTTGGGCAGCCTAGTGCCCGCTGTATATCAGGAGATGGGGAGGCAGGGGCCAGGAGCTGGTCCCCCGGGTTGGCGCTGTGCTGGGGTCCTGCTTTGCTGTGGCCCAGGGGACCCAGGGAGCCATGGGCACGGCTGGGCCACTCTGGTGGCTGCCCTAGCCTGTGGCTTCTTGGGCCAATTGGCAGCGGATGTGTCCTGAACATCTTGCCTCTGCTGGGCATTTGCAGTCACCTTGGTGGCCATCAGCTAGCCACACATTGGTTGTTCTGTTACCAGAAGAGACAGCAGAGGTGACAAACACCTCAGGTACCCAGTCAGTGGTGGGAAGACACTTGGCTCAGATGTCCAAGGTGGCAGGCCTAACCCGCATGCGCCCTTCTCACAGACTGCGCACCAGGGTAGGCATTCTGATAGCGTTTCCACTGCTACCTTCAACTTCAGCTTCACAGCTCGCTGAACACCTTCTACAGATCAGGCCCGGGGCCCAATCCTGAGACTCTGTTGTGATGGGCAGCCCTGTTGGGCAGCACTAAAGACTTACACCTGTAATCCCTGCTACTCAGGCTGCTGAGATCTGAGGATCACGGTTCAAAGCCAGCCCTGGCAGGAAGTCTGTGAAAATCTTATCTCCAGTTAGCAAAAAGCCAGACATGGAAT